CTCTTTTTTTTTTTTTTTTTTTTTTTTTTTTATTAAGACAGGGTTTCACCATATTGGTCAGGCTGGTCTTGAACTCCCGACCTCAGGTGATCCGCCCGCCTAGGCCTCCAAAGTGCTTGGATTACAGGTGTGAGCCACAATGCCCGGCCTTTTTTTTTTTTTTTTTTAAGCTCTCTCTTCATTCTCTTGTCCTTTCAGGAGTCTGATGACATTAATGTTATATATTATTCTCTCTTGCTATAGTTCCACAGGTTGCTGAGGCTCTGTTCATTTTTCTGAGTCTATTTTGTCTCTGTTTCTCTGATGGGATAATTCTGCTGTTCAGTGTTTGAGTTCCCTGGGTTTTTTCCTCTGTCCCCTCCATTTTTCTGTTGAGAACATTCACTGAATTTTAAAATTTTGATCAACGTGTTTTTCCATTCTAAAATTTCCATTTTTTTCTTCATGTCTTTTATTTATTTGTAGAGGCTTTATATTTCTTTGATGAGACTTCCTGTTTTTTCGTTTGTTTCAAGCACATTCATAATTGCTTGTTCAAGCAATTTTATCATGGCTAATTTAAAATCTTAGATAATTAAAAAATCTCTGTCATCTTGATGTTGGCATCTAGTGGTTGTTTTTTGCATTCAGTTTGAATTATTTCTGGTTCTTGTTATGATGAGTACTTTTTTATTAAAATCTGGACATTTTGGGAATTAGGTTATGAGACTCTAGATTTTATTCTTATCTGCTTTATCTGGATTCCTGTGACACTGCTCTGCTGGGTGAAGTGGGTGGGGATGCTTTGCCTCATGACTGCCAGGTGTGAGTAGAAATCTAGGTTCTTCACTTAGCCTTCCATGACACCCAAGGGGAGGCTCTTATTATTGCTGGGCAAGGAGGGGACATCTGTCTCCCTACTTAGGCTTTCACTTATACCTCTCTAGTAGGGAGACGTTGGATTTCCTTGTTATTGCTACCCACATGTGAAATGATGTGGTCACTTTAGAAAACAGTTGGGCAGTTCTTCAAAAAGAGGTACTGTAAGTCCCAGCAATGCCACTACTAGGTATAAGCCCAAGAAAAATAAAAACGTATGTCCAGACAATAATTTGTACACCAGTGTTTGTACCAGCATTATTTATTTAGCTAAAAAATGAAACAATTTAGTCTGTCAACTGAAGAATGGACAAACCAAATGTATATCCATACAATGGAATATTATTCAGCAGTAATAGGAAATGAGGTATTGATCATGCTACGACATGGATGAACCTTGAAACATTAAGCTAAGTGAAAGAAGGCAGTCACAGAGGACTAAATATTGTGTGATTCCATTTATATGAAATGTCCAGAAGAGGTAAATATATGGGGACATAAAATAGATTCATAGCTGTCTAGAACTGGGGGGTGAGTTGTGGGCATATGTGAAATGACTGCTAATGGTATGGAGTTTTTTGGGGCTCATGAAAGTGTTTTAAAATTAATTGTGATAGTGGTTATACAAACTTGTAAATATACTAAAAACCAATAATGTGTACACTTTAAATGGGTGAATTATGTGCTATGTGATTTATATTTCTATAAGAGTTTACAAACAAGTAAAGAAAACTCAGAGAACTTAACATCTTGTATTTCCTGAGGTTCCAACATCTCTCGCCCGTATGCTTGTTTCTCTCCACCTTTCAGAGCCCTCTTGTCTTTGTTTATGTATAATATCTAGGGTTTTTAGTGGATAAATAGAGAAAATTGCATTTAATTTATCTTGTCCTGTTAGCAGAAGTCATTTGTTTTCAAAATTACCTTTTAACTTTTATTTTTCAAATTAGCTTATAATTTTTTTTGTCCTATAAACTTTAACACACATATAGATGGGTTAACACATATATGTTAATCCTGGTTACCATAACCAGGATACAGAACAGTACTATTAACCCGCAAACTGCTGTGTGCTATTCCTCTGTAGTCATAACCTTTCCTTATTTCTAAATTCTGACAATACTGGTCTGTTTTCTGTTACTATATAAATGGAATTATAAAAAGAATAAGTGATTTTTGGGAATAGCTTTGTTTGTTCAGTGTAGTGCCTTTGAGATTCATTGAAGTTGGTCTGTGTATCAGTAATTTGTTTCTTTTTCTTCTGGATTAGTACTCCATTATATGGGTGTACATACCACAGGTTGTCTATACATTCAGTCATTAAAGGATATTTGCGTTGTTTCCATTTTTGATGATGAGGAATGGAGTTTTCAAAAACATTTGTGTACAGGATTTTCATTTACATAGTTTTAATTTCTCTAGGGTAAATACTTGGTATGGGATTTCTGGGTCATATGTTAAGTATATGTTTAACTTTATAAGGAACTGCCAAACTGTGTTCCAGAGCAGTTCTACCATTTTGCATAGCTGCCAGCAAGGTTTGAGAGTTCTAGCTCTCTTGCATCCTCACCAGCACTTGATATTGTATTTTTAAATTTTAGGTATTGTCATAGTATGTGGCAGTAGTTATTGTACTTTTAGCTTCTATTTCTGTAATGGCTAATTATGGTGAATATCTTTTCATGTGCTTATTTGCCACACTATATCCTTTTTGGGCAAGTGTCTGCTTGAGTCTTTTGTCCATATTTAAATTGGATTATTTGTTTTTGTATTATTGATTTTTGTGGATTCTGTCTACAAGTTTTTTGTTGAATATGTGATTTGCAAATATTATTTCTCATTTGGTAGTTTATCTTCTTCTTTCAGCAGTGATTTTCTAAGAGCAAAGGTTTTATAATTTGAGGAATTCCAATTTATCAATTGCATCTTACTTAGATTGTGCCTTTTTGTCTAATAACTCTTTTTTTGTGTTTTTTTTTTTTACTTTTTTTTTTTTTTTGTCTACTAACTCTTTACTTATGCCCTTGCCATAAAGATTTTCTTCCATGTCGTCTTCTTCTTCTTCTTTTTTTCTTTGAAACAGTGTCTCACTTACTCTGTAGCCCAAGCTGGAGTGAGCTGGTATAATCTTGGCTCACTGCAAACTCTTGTCTCCTGGGTTCAAGCGATTCTCTTGCCTCAGCCTCCTGAGGAGCTGGGATTACAGGTGTGCACCACCATGCCCAGGTAATTTTTGTATTTTTAGTAAAGTTGAGGCTTCACCAGGTTGTTGGCCAGGCTGATCTTGAACTGCTGACCTTAAGTGATCTGCCTGCCTTGGCCTTCCAAAGTTTTGGGATTACAGGCATGAGCCTGTGCTCCCAGCCCATAAATTCTCTTTATCAAGTTGAAGAAATCCTCTTCTGTTTCTGTTTACTGAGTGTGTGTGGGGGGGGTGTTTTTTTCTTTTTTTTGAGACAAGAGCCTTGCTCTGTTGCTGAGGCTGGAGTGCCGTGGTGCGATCTCAGCTTACTGCAACCTCCGCTTCCCCAGTTCAAGTGATTCTCCTGCCTCGGCCTCCCAAGTAGCTGGGATCACAGGCGCCCAGCACCATGCCAGGCTAATTTTTGTACTTTTTAGTAGAGACGGGTTTTGTCATGTTGGCCAGGCTGGTCTTGAACTCCTGACCTCAAGTGATCCACCTGCCTCGGCCTCCCAAATTGCTGGGATTACAGGCGTGAGCCACCACGCCCAACCTTGAGTGTTGTTGTTTTTTTTTAAAGTCATGAATGGATGTTGAACTTTTTCAGTTGATTCTCTGCATCAATTGATACAATAATTTGTGTTTTTAAAATTTAATCTGTTTCATATGGTGCGTTACATTTTTTATTGAACCAGTTCTGCATTCCCGAGACGTTTGTCATTTGCTTGTGAAGTTTTATTCTTTTTATATATTGCTAAATGTAATTAAGGAGAGATGGGAGAATTGCTGGAGTGATGTGTGGATGAAGTAAAAGGGGGTGGGATCAGGTGTCCAAGTAGAAAGGTGGGCCTTAGGAGCAGCAACCTATAATCCACAGTAATAGGATTGGCATATGTGTGAGTAGGTGGGCAAATACGGTGAGAGACTGTGGGAGTTTTCTTCCGATGGCTTCTATTTTTGATGTCTTGACCAGTCTAACCTGAGCATAGGAAAGGTAGAAGAGGATGCCAAGAGTGCCAGGTCTAGGAAGGTTTAACACAATGATTGGGGGATCTACCATTCTCCAGTGAGCCTTGGTGAGTCACTGAATATTCTGGAGTAGAGGAGTGGGATATGATTAAAGCTGAAATTCAGACTTGATTCGGTAGATAGGATAGATAAGAAGGGGAAAAGTGGCAGGTGGACCGTAACCTCAGTTGGGAATGATGGGACCTAAACTAGGCTGCAAAAATGGAGATAAGAAGTTTTTATTGGCAAGCTAGAATCGAATGGAATTGGCAGCTGTATGGCTGAGGTAGCAAAGAGAATATGCTGTATTTTTTCATTTATTTATTCACTTATTCTAGAAATATTAAGAGATTGGCAGTGGTGCATTGGGGATCAGGGCCTGAGTGACAGCTGCAGAGTGGGCTGGCAGCCTGGCAGGCTTTGTGACCCAAGCAAAGAAAATAGCAGTGAGTGGTGGCCCTGGAGGATTGGGGCCTGATTGAGGGAGGGAGCAAAGCAGGGTGGCAGCCCACTTGGCTCAGGAGATTGGTTACATACAACGGGGTTGAAAAAACAGGAAAATATTTTGAGGATAATAAAATCTATGTTTCTCATTGTCAGAGAAGGGAGTTAAAAATATGGAAAGGGTCATAACTAGAATTAACTCTGGTATATAATATAGGAATTGGAAACAGTGTGAGCTCATGGTTTTCTATATGTAGAAATATAGATATAAATTAATATAAATATGAAGATATATGTGTATACAGAATACACACATATGTGTATCTGTAAACTATCTACTTACCTACATATTATCTATCTGTTTTCTAGCTCTATCTGGAAGCAGCAACACCCTAGTAGCAATGAACGTATCTAGTGCCCAGATCTTGACTTCTCAATACCATTCTCCACTAAAAGGAACCAAAGATCATTGGAAAAATGGCTCATTCTAAGGCTAGCACAGAAAAATACAAAATGAGCCTTGTGGTGGACAGACTCACAATCTCTAAAGCACCTCTTCCATGATACCTGCCTCCTGGTACCATGATACCACCCTCACTTTTTAGTGCAAACAGGACCCACAACTTGTTTCTAATAGAATATGACAACAGTGATGGGATGTCACTCCTACCATTAGGTTATATTATGTAAAACTCTTTCTTGCTAGGATGGAGACTCTAGAGGCTTTTCTGGGTTTGATGAAATAAGTGGCCATGTTGGAAAAGCCTGTGTGACAAGGTACTTCAGGTAGTCTCTGCAGGTGGCTTTTAGGAACTGCAGGAGGCCTCTCCTTGCTAACAGCCAAGAGCCAGCAAGAAGCCAGGGTCCTCAGTCCTACTGACACAAAAAAACTAAGCCTGCCTAGGATCTTAGAAAGCTTGGAAGTAGATTCTTTCCACTCATGCCTCCAGGTGATAAGGCAGCTTGGCTGACATCTTGATTTCAACCTTGCTAAAGCCTAAGTAGAAGACTCAGATAAACTGTTCCTGGACTTGGCTGGGTGCAGTGGCACACGCCTGTAATCCCTGTACTTTGGGAGGCCGAGGCAGGTGGATCACGAGATCAGGAGTTCAAGACCAGCCTGGCCAACATGGTGAAACCCCGTCTCTATTAAAAACAAAACAAAACAAAACAAAACAAAAAACTGTTCCTGGAATTCTGACCTACAGAAATTGTGAGTATATTAAGTGCGTAGTATTTTAAGCTGCTAATTTTGTGGTAATTAATGTGCTATGCGACAATAATAATATAAGCCTAGAACATCTTGCTCTGCCAGAAAGTGAGAAGGAACTCAAATAACTGTAAGCTATGACAAAAGGATCCTGAAGTAAATTTGAAGGTGCTCTCACTAGACATATCTGGGATAATATGAGATTCAAAATAAATAATAGTATAAATATATTTATATTAATATATTAATAATATAACATTAATATAGTTAATATATTAAGGTAATATAAATAAAATGGGAAATAATGAGTTCACATTCATATAAATAAATAACCAGTAAATCAATGGAAAGAAGAGAAAGCTCTTCCTTGCTACTATAAGGACAACTAATTAGTGTAAAAGAAATAATACAATTGAAAATATCTATTTTGTAACCATCATAATAATAGTTAATTCAGGCAGAAACATCAATAATTGCTAAAACAAGGGTGAAAGTGGGATGATAAATGAATATTTGCATAGCTTCGAATTGTCTTTCCACAAACAAATTAATTAGGTAAAAGAATAAATTTATAGTGGAAAATCTGGCAGACACCACCAAGAAATCAAGCTTAACATTATCAGCAGTTGGACATATTGCCATATGTACTTCCTGATATGATGCACCGTGAAGCGAACAACATCACTTCCATAGTATTCCTGCCAAACATGCTTAACCTGCATCTAATCATGAGGAAGCATTAGACAAATGTTAACATTTTGCCCTTTTGCCATTATTGCAATAGTTGGTGAAACTTGAATGTACTCTCTGAGTGAAGAATACATGGGAGTCTCTGTATTTATCTTGCAGTTTTCCCTCTGTAAGTTTAAAATTGTTTCCAAATAAAAAATTTTAAAAGGGGCGAGGAGTGGTGGCTCACATCTGTAAATCTAGCACTTTGGGAGGCCAAGGGAGGCAGATCTGTTGAGCCCAGGATTTCGAGGCCTGGGCAACATGGCGAAACTCTGTCTCTACTAAAGATACAAAAATTAGCCAGGTGTGGTGGCGTATGCCTGTAGTCCCAGCTACTTGGGAGGTTGAGGTGGGACGATCACCTGAATCTGGGGAGGTCAAGGCTGCAAGTGAGCTGTGATTGTATCACTGTACCCCAGCCTGGGTGACAGAGTGAGACCACCTTTCAAAAAAACAAACAGAAGAAGAAATATAAAAAGGAAATATGTGCCAGGCACTGTCCCAGTTAGTAGAATAATTCTGGCAACAAAAACAGACAAAAATTCCTGCTCTCATGGGTTTTACATTTTAGTGGGAGGAAGTAAAGACTAAATAAATCATTATATTGTAGTGTGGGTAAGAAAAAACATCTAAAAAATTATTGTATCAAGTCAGTTGGGAATAAGTGCTATGATTAATAAACCAGAGGAAGAGCATAAGAGAGTGACTCTAGGATCTAGCTATGTGGACTGGTAGGCACTCTATTTAAATTAGGCTAGTCAGCAGAGGTCTCTTTAAGAGGTGATGCTTGAGTGGAGAACTAAAAGATAAAGATTCAGTTATAAAAAGGTCTGGGGAAAGAGCACTCCAGGCATAGGGGCCAGCAAGTTCGAAGGACCCGAAGTGAGAATGAGCTTGGAATTTTTAGGAGTTCCCCGAAAAGCCAGTGAAATGGTAGGATAATAGATTAGGCATGGCAGAAGGTAGACCAGTTGTGCAGGGGTGTGTGTGTGTGTGTGTGTGTGTGTGTGTGTGTGTGAGTGTGACAGTATGTTGGGATTATGAAGGTAATTTAACATTGACTCCAACTTTTTAAAGCTATATAGTATGAACAGCAGAACTCTGAAATTTGACTTCTGGGTTCAAATCCAGTTTCTTCTACCAGCCATGTGACTCTAAGAAAATGCCTTAACCTTCCTGTGCCTCAGTTCCCTCATTTGTAAATGAGAACTAATAATAGCTCCAATCTAAATAGTTTACTTTGAGAGTTAAACAGATGGGTGCATGTAAAATGCTCAGGACAGTGTCCAGCATGCCATCCCAATATATGTTAGAAATTATCTTAGTTGATTTGGCCTGGGCTGATTCACTGCCTGGTTGGTGTGTGTGTGGCAGGATCCCAGGACGTATAGCTTGTCTGACTGTATGTGTCTGGCGGGGGGAACAGAGGAGCCCAGGCCTAAGAAATGTGACCCTGCACAGTGAGGGATGAGGGCTACTTCCTGCTCATTCCTACGTCCTACCAAAACCACGTCCTGTGAAAGGGATTCTAGCAGGTGTGACCTATTGAATAAAACAGGAAACCATGAATTCACATTTACATAAATGAATATACAGTCAAAGTCCCTAATTGATTCCTAATTCTATTTTT